AAAGTCATCTGATAATCATAATCAAATAAATGTATGGGCAAATCAATAAACATTTTTAAATATATCAAATTATGTTTGAAAATTATAACAGGTTGCCAGTTGCTGGAAACAAACCAAACAATCATACTAAAAGTATGTTCAACATGTTCAAACAGGTCCGTCAAAAGTATCTTTTGACAAAAACTATATTAAAACTTTGCACAGAGAACTGTTTCATTGGCAGATCAGTTTCAGCAAGATTTTTTTTTATTAACAAGCCTCAAGAATTACCCCCAAAATCATAGAAATTAAGCTAATCAGAGACACAAACTTTAATCACAGGTACTTACAATATCTCCCAGATCTATCTTTGTAAACACAAAGGAAGCCATCTGAGCATGGCTGGCCTGGATTTTGGGCTGGATGGAATTCGTCAGTAAGTCTTTGACATAATCTCCAATAAATGGCCAAATCTGGTCCAGTATCTGAAGAGTGAGGGATTGAAATGAAAATCTGCTATAAATGAACTGAAGGAATATCATATTCCATTTTGCATGCAGTATTCAAATATTTCATGAGACAGTACATGACGTGTGTATATCATACCAGAACTTAAATAATTGAATTGATGGCCTATTCCCTAAACACATCTGTACGAATCATTAAAATTTCAAAATTCAAATTTTTGTTAGTATGAAATGCACTGAAAATTTTGATCAATTTGCATGTCGAGAGATCACTTGGGAATTTTGGATAATTTTTTTTGGAAAAAAACAGTAAATTTTCCATTTGAAAAGGGTCCTTTTACAGGACCTGGATGCAAGGCTTACTTGTTCTGTGAATGCTCCTCACAATTTGGGCACATTTTTAATTTTCATTTTTTTGCCTACACTAAGGAATTCACAAAATGCAATTCAGCTAAAAATTTAACCAAGTTTCTGTTTTTTAAGATGGTATTAAAGTAGCATATATGCATATATGTTTTCCTCTTTTTATCATTTTTATAATATTAGTTCTTACAAATCATACATATGATTACCATTGTACATGTAAAATATCTTGATCCATACCTTGTTGAACCATTCTGCTCTTTCTACCTCTGGAAAATGAACCTAAAAAATAAGAAAGCCATTAGTTACTTTGTGCTTGAGCCTCTCCAAACCCCTCATCATCTTCAAAAAAAATAAATAAAAGGGTCACATACTTTCAAATGTCATGAAAGATATCATTTTAATATGTTTTCAAGAGCATTATAGTAGCAACACAGGAAAAAAAAATCATATCTGCAATTCTGTGCATTTTTTTTTTGCAATTAAAACAAATCCAGCTGTGATAGAATTGTGAGAATGATTATAATGAAGGACATGTATCACATTTATCTCTTAATCAATCATTGAGATTAAACATACAAGGTTTTCTTTGAGAAATAACCTAATTTACTACATTACTCACTTATAAGAACCATAAAATGACAGTCAGTTTTAAAACAGCAAGGTATGCTTTAAATCTCCAGAGGGCAGAGGGAAAATGGTGTGGGTGGAATTATTTACATAATTTAATCTCAAAACTTCAACACACACCCTATATAATATTGACAGCCGTGTGGCAAAGTCAGTGAACCACGGTCGGCTGTGTGTATTGGATGATTCATCAAAACTGCAGTGCTTTTCTTTTGCTCAGATAGCGTACATTAATAAAACATCACAAAAAACATTACCACTAATAGAATATAGCCGTAAAAAAAAATTATTTGCACCACTAAACATCTCTATTACACTATCTGTTAACCTTAATAACTCAGTCTCTTACTTTCTTTAACATTTTCTTTGATCTCCTCTACATGTATAAAATTAAAAGTGCATGTACACAAAAAAAGTTGTACTAAATTAGAAAACTGAAAATACTGCAATTGATCATTTTATTATATAACTAATCACACATATAATCTTATAAACTGATCCAATGATAATCAAGTAATTAATGACCATGTGAACCTGCACAAAAATTGCCTCCTTCTTTTCTCTGCATAACTAACTTATAATCGTGTTTTTTACCAGTGTGCGATACTGTTTCAATGTGTCTGTCCAACAATATTTGTCTATCCTAGCTATTATTGGTTTATGGCAGCTAGGATAGAAAAACAAAATAAATGCTAATATAAATGCATCCTCTCAAGCCACGGTCAGGAGTCCACATGTAGCTCTCTCTCCTACCCATGGCTGCTTGATCACAAAAAGTGTTGTAATCTTGAAAATTTACGCCTCTCTATTGTGACGTCATATTCAGTCAATGACAAGTTTTGTTTCCATCGCGATTGAAATCAACAAATTACATTAGGCAGTAGTATTTCCTATACTGCGATTGGGTATTGAATGGTCTGATTGAAAGGTCAATTTCCGACTATGCTTTACTCGTATTGGTCAATACAGTTAATTCTCGATAAACCGCCACCTTTTGTAATTTAGAAATCATGGCGGTATAACGAATTTGGCGATGAATTGAATTTCCCATCTTTAAGGGAACAAGAAGTAGAGTTACCGTTCTTAGAAATACCATTTAGCGTTTCTATTTTTAATATTACATATACATGTATATAAAAACATATTTCTGATTGAAAATGCTTCAAGTAATTTTCTTAATATACAATTTCGCTAAAACAAAATGTGCAGTTATGAAATAAAGACAAGTACATGTATGCATGTAAATCTGCATGTCTGACATTGAAAAAAAAAAACATGCTGGGTGGATCGTCGTGATAAATTGCCGATAGTATGTAAAATGCATTCTTGAATAAATTCATTGTTTATGGCATCATTGTTAATGAAACGTTCACATTTTATACCGTATAATTATTTTTTCAGCAAACTTTGCATTGTTAAAGTAGAGATCATCAAAATAATATCGTTATCGGCGTACTTTAACAAAGACCGCTTTCATGGCCTGACTAAATATTTTTATTAAACAGAAAACAAAATTATCATAACAGTTCATGCTAAAATTATTGTTTATTTTATTCTTGTTTAATTACTTAATTGCATGTTCCTTGTCTGCATGCCTTTGCATGCTTTACAACAGGGATAGCATCAACCAATTAGCCGCGCTTCACTGACCACATGCACCTGTGGCGGTATATCGAGATAATTGACACTTAAAAATGGACGTTTGTTGTGAAAACAGGGTGGCGGATGGCGGTATGCGAATTTGGCGTTATAAAGAGAATTTTATATAGCAGGAAAAACGTTCTTGGGAAATCATGGCGGTATTGCGAAAATGGCGATGAATCGAATGGCGATAATTCGAGAATTGACTGTACTTTAATGAGCTACGAAATATTCTCATCTCATGCAATCAGGGCCAGAATGGGAGAGGATCGTACATTATGGCCGTGGTTTGCGACGATGAAATAAATGCACTTAATGCAGCTCATGGATAGAATGCTTTTTTGTCCTTTGAACCTAGTTTATGATATAAAATATAAAATCATCACCATTTTATGTAAGGGAAACAAAAATGAAAACTTAAATCGAATGTTCATAATATAAAATTATTTATAGTGAATTTCCTTCCTGTTATGATATAAAAGTTGTTCCAGGAATGACAAGATTAATGGTATCAGGAAAGTCATATACAACAAGAGGTATTTGTGAGACACTGTTGCCCTCATATATGGCAGCTAATGGGAAGAGTTCTCAAATGAAGTAAATTCCAAGGTTAAAGCTAAGAGACCAAAATAATGACACCCAAAGAAAGTTATGGTCACAAGAAATACTCCTGTGAAATATGAAAGACTAAGCACCCAATTTAAAAGTTCTGGCTTAAGTCATTTTATTCAAAAGTAGGTCAAATTCAAACATCAAAGTCAAAGACTCAAAATGTTGGCACCCAAAGCAAGGCCTTTATTGAGCAACACAAGCAGCTCTTTAAACTAACCCAAACCAGCTTCTAAATTGACTGAGCCAAACAAGCTGTTTTACTGTTTTACTGATTGAGCCATACAAGCTGTTCTACTGATTGAGTCATAAAAATAAATCTACATGTACTTTATGAACCACACAAGCTGATCTACTGACTGAGCCACTGAACCACACAACCTGATCTACTGACTGAGCCACTGAACCACATAAGCTGATCTACTGACTGAGCCACTGAACCACACAAGCTGATCTACTGACTGAGCCACTGAATCACATAAGCTGATCTAATGACTGAGTCGCTAAACCACATAAGCTATTGCCTAGATCACTGAGTGAACCACACAAGATGATCTACTGACTGAGCCACTGAACCACACAAGCTGATTTACCAGTTGGGCACTGAACCATTACCCTGATCCATTACACTGATCTACTGACTGAGTCAATGAACTACACAAGCTTTTCTAATAGCTGAATTACTGAATCAAACAAGCTGATCTACTAACTGAGCTACATAAGCTGATCTTCTGACTGAGTCACTAAACCAAAAAAGCTGATCTACTGACTGAGCTACAGAATTTGATCTTCTGACTAGGTCCCTGAAACACACAAACTGATCTACTGACTGAGCCACTGAAACACACAAACTGATCTACTGACTGAGTCACTGAACCACACAAACTGATCTACTGACTGAGCCACTGAAACACACAAGCTGATCTACTGACTGACCTACACAAGCTTATTTTCTGACTGAGCCACTGAACCACTCAAGCTGATTTTCTGAGCCACTGAACCACACTAGTCCTATGTAAAAATTTGATCGGCCACTGTGGCCTCACCCTACCCCCGTGGGTCATGATTTGAACAAACTTGAATCTACATTACTTGAGGATGATTTGAAATGAGTTTCATCTTTCCTGGCCCAGTGGTTCTTGAGAAGAAGATTTCTCTTATATATTCCTATGTAAAACTTTGATCGGCCATTGTGGCCCCATCCTACCCCCAGGGGTCATGATTTGTAAAAACTTGACTCTACACTACATGAGGATGCTTCCACATGAGTTTCATCTTTCCTGGCCCAGTGGTTCTTGAGAAGAAGATTTTTTTAAAATATGCCATTAATATTTCACTTATTCATAATTATCTTCCCTTGGAAGAGGGGTGGCCCTTCATTTGAACAAATTTGATTCCCCTTCACCCAAGGATACTTTGTGGCAAGTTTGGTTGAAATTGGCCCAGTGGTTCTTGAGGAGAGGATGAAATGTGAAAAGTTTACGAAGATGACGACAGACAACAGACAAATTTTGATCAGAAAAGCTCACTTGAGCCTTCGGCTCAGGTGAGCTAAAAATTGTAAATGATTTACATAAGGCAAATGCTCTTTTTTCTGAGTCCAAAATGGTCAGAAAAGAAGACATCTACTCACTGAGCCACAAACAGCAAATAGTTTTAACTGACTGAGAAACACACAATGCAAACAATCTCTCTACTAAGCAAGAGAAGACATATATTTAGTTTCAAGTGATTTTTCTGAGCCACTCTTAGCATGTGCTCCACTGAATGAGCCATCTCTGTTAAATGTGCAACATATCATAGTATATGGCTGCAGGTCACACAGCCAATATTAGTGATGACCAAAGTCCAAAACACATCATTGTTGTAATTAGTCACCTGTAGATACATGCATATTTCACCACTTTATGTGCATACCAACATTTGTATTCATTAATACGTCTAGTAAGCTATGATCTTTATTAATCTAATTGACAGAAATCACTTCGTCCATATGAACATGCAGTTTCCAAAAATTTAAGAGGCTTTGGAATCTTATTGAACCCTTTTATAATATAAAGTCCTAAGTTTAATTTAATGTTAATTTAAATTGTGCACTAATATAAATAGCTGTCAAGATTAAAGAATCTTCATGTTTGCAGCATAGACCGTTTCACGGTAACTGCAGTACCGCTCTTTTGCAGGGCAAATTGATATATTTTGGTGAAATATGACGTAAAAGTAATTGTTTAAAATACGTCATTTAATTATCTATCAACAAAAACTCCGCCAAACGTTATTATTTTGCCCTGCAAAAGTGTAGTATCACAGTTATCGTGAAGGGGCTAATTGAAATTTGGTGGCATATTGCACCTTTTTGATAACTGTCAGTTAGCATTAAAATATTCCAAAGTTCTATTGGCTTTCACTTCATTTTCACTACAACAAAATTACAAAATTGACATTTGGGCAAAATATATTCTTATATATTATGTAGAATTTTCAAAAGCAATCAATTTACTGTTCTATTGGCTTTCACTTCATTTTCACTACATCAAAATTACAAAACTGACATTTGGGCCAAATATATTCTTATATATTAAACCTCTTAGCCTTAGCCTAGAACGACATCATGTACTACTACAAGGTTGAAAGATGTTTTCATAGTTTACGGTTTCTTGCACAAACGTAATCCTATCAGTATGCGACCGGCAATAGTCTAATATGACCACACGTCCACAGCAAAATTACCTACCCATGATGGTAAATCTTCAACACGAGCTAAAATAGCCTTCTGCTCATCTCTTGCAGTGTCTTGTCGAATCTCAATCTGTAACTTCTTGCGCTTCCCCTGGCGATCCTTCCATACATATAAAATTAAACCGATCAGCAGCCAACTGGGGCTAAAGTTGAAGTAACCTGACAGCCAAACTCCAACTGCAACTCCTGCAAGCTTGAAATATTTCAGGACAACATTCACAAGCTGAGTTTCCTCAATTCCCGATTTTCTCTGCGATTTCGGAGGTGTATCCGACATCGTTGAGATCAATCTTATATGCCTTTTTTACAATCAGTCGTCTGTAATAAACCTGCACATCAACTTCATATTAGACAACCCACCTGAACGGACGAGTCTACTGCCGTCTAAGGGGTTATCAAAACAACGGTCTGAATATTTCTATTCGGATAAGATTGGCCAACTGGTGTGTAATTTTCTTGAAATTTCTCTTTTACAAAAAAATTAATTATGTTCACATACATGTTATATTTCAATAAAAACCTTGCAATAATATTTTCAGTCATTTAAAAAGTAAAATATTTAATAAATGGGATCAAGGTATTTAAAGATCGGGATCGAAATACACATTTATTTCCAAGATGGAAGAACAACAAACACACGAGGACCAAACTCCTGAAACTTTAGAAAAGAAACCACATAAAAAGCGAAAACTCCCAGAGCCCGGTGTCATATACTTGAGTAAAATACCAGCATTAATGAATGTAAAAACTATCAAAGACATTTTCAGTCAATATGGTGAAATAGGAAAGGTTTTCCTCCAACCAAATGGTAATCACAGATCAATTTTTTGTAAACAAGTTCTGTCAGGGACCCTGGTCCTGGTGTTCATATCCTTTACTTCGCGTTGTATTTATTTTTATTTTGCATCAATGTTCTAAATTAGACATCTACATTAGAAGATATCTTGGAAGTATCTGTATATTTAGTTAGAATAATCTAACTGTGTCCCGAGACAAGCCCTCACCACAGTTAGAATACCTCCTAACACTCGCAATGTAGCAAAAAATTGCAGAATCGCTCCGAAACGATTCTGAAAAATACAAAAGGATTTGCACTGAAAATAACTTCCAAATTAATTATAACAAACCTTTTTGGGGTTGTGTAAGTATTTAAACCTAAAGTATAATCCAAATAAAAACGAAAATTCAATTAATTTTCTCAACGTTTTTTCTGGCTTCAAATTTACAGGCCATTTTTATGTTTGGAACTCTCTCGATTGTTCATAGTATATTCACTGAGTACGAGTTATCGCCCGTGTTTATTTTGCTACATTGTGGATACACGGAACAAATTTTATCGTTAAACCGGGTCCATAGGACAGTCATGATTTTAACGATAGAACATTCTATCTACTGTAAATTGAAATGGACTAAAAATTAAAATGAAGATTTTCACGACTTTATAAATTTATTACCTGTCTAACAGTTATAGAATTAATGTAATATGAAAACATAATTTCCCCAACCTAAATATAGTAAAAAATAATACAGGTAACTCTTGATGGCTCGAACTTCGATCTCTCGAAGTTCTTGATCGCTCAAAGTGAGTCTCCAGTCCCGATTTTTTCCCTTATATAACTAAGCAAGTTTACTCTTGATTTCTCGAACTTTTGATCTCTCTAAACCCTTGATCCCTCGAAGTCAAAATGCAGTCCCGCTATGCATATTCTATTGAAATTTACCCTCGATACCTTGAAGTGGCTATGTGTATACAAGTTACAAAATTAGCAACTTTACCTGGACATTTAATGGCCCCAGGCAGAAGACGTGGGTCTCGTGAAACGGGATGTTTATTCAGGTGACACTTATACTACAAGGTGATAATTGATTTATAATTAATCTTATGTTGCCTGTATGCTATTAAAAGAATCATCATTGACTGTATTACGATAATTGAGAACCGCAGTGTCACTGAGAAATTGTAATTGCAGATAACAAGACGAAACACTTAGTAAATTTAGTTTTTATTTCGAGTCAATGTCAAAGTTTAACGAAATATGAAAATCCAGAAACAGCCTCAGTGTCAATATGACGACTATTGTTGGACAAATACTTACAGAACTTTGTTCAATGCACGTCTTTCGAAAAAATCACAATGCTTTATGTACCACGTGGCGCTGTAAAATGTCGTTTTCATATAACGAATGCTTAGTCATCTTCGCTAGCCAAGGGTTTCTGATACGCTACTCTCCTCATAAACCCTTGGCATACGGTGAAGTCAAAAGACGGGATTGTTTTCCGTCACGTGATCTCGAATCTATCAGGTACGCACAGATTGCGTCATCGCCAGAAATAAAGACACGTGTTAAAAAAAATTAAATCAAAGTTTTTTCAAGAATAATTAAGAAGCAATAATTGAGTTATGTTTATTCATTACTTATAAAACAAATCTGAAGCTTCAATATAGATTCTTAATCACATATTTAGAAGATATTGGATGACACCATGTCTATTCATAGAATTGAATGTTATCTTACGGATCGTTGTTTACTTGCGTTTTTCATTTCCGAGATTAAAGAGTGAAGATGTATCCCGAACGCAAATATCGTCATTTACAAAAAACAATTGCTGATTGGTCGACCTTGGTGTACTGAAATCCAATCAGAACTCTGGAAAAAAATCCCAATTTCTATGAACACCGTAGGCCAAGGGTTTTTGAGGAGAGTAGCGTATCAGAAACCCTTGGCTAGCGAAGATGATGCTTAGTATGATGTCCGTATTGTAAAGAATAAAAAATTAAACATAAAATGACAATGTACATTTTTAGCTTTACTCAGATTAATAAATATTCATCTAAAATACGAAATCATATCGCTGTTTTACAAAAACCACGTGTGAAAAGTTAGCACTGCATAAAAATCATTGCATCCGGTAAGACTAATTTTAAAACCTGCCAAACAAACCCGGAAAATTCTGGACTCTTGAAAACTCGAACTCTTGATCTCTCGAAGTTTTTCCTTGGTCCCGCGGACTTCGAGGTATCGAGAGTTACCTGTATATTGACGGTGCGACTGTTGGGGTGAGCTCAGACGCTTTTTCATTTTTAATTTAGATCGGTTTCGTCAAGCAGCATGTGACATTTGGTGCATCTAGACTCTAACGTCACATGACGTCGTCTGTATATACCAAAACAAAGCCTGAACAGTGCTGACTTTAATGAAGAACATTTTATTTACTATTTATCTGCAATATAGACATTAAATCAAGGCAGGTTTTTATTTTTTGCTGAACTTTTGTTGTTTTTCTCGCGAGAACGTAGCTGTACAAAGCGATGCATTGTGGGTCCAAATTACTGCGGAAAAAATTTCTATAGAATGAATGTGCAATAGTCTGAATTTTCTCTTCACCCAGTTGTGTCTTTAGAGCTCGCAGTTACGAGCATTGCTTTGCGATGCTCGCTGCACTTGCTTTTATTGAATGAAACATTCTTTTTTCAGAATTTAACGATGTTTAAACTCATGCCTTTTTACTCACAAACTTTACATAAAAGTGGGAAGAAAGTTTAATACTGAACATGTTTATAATCCCAATTACGAATTTTGAAAATTATATCTCTTTGAGGCTTCCATGTGATACAATCCATTACCCCACCTCTGTTGATTTTTCCATGAAATCTTGGCTTACGATTCGTTGAAGTCTGTCACATGAAGGCGGTGGATTACTTATACCCGGTCAGTTTTAAATCCATACCCGGTCAGTAAATCTATACCCGGTGGATGTATTACGTCACAAACACAAACGTAACGTCATAATAGGCACAGTATAAGCGCGATGAAGCATTTAGCAGATAAAACCATTTATAAACTACAGATAAAACATAAATGTTTCATCGGTGGGGTAAATTCGTAACATAGTCTTTTAGTGACAGGGTATGGGATGATACCTGGTTAGTAAATTTCATACCTGACTCGGCTCCGCCTCGCCAGTTATGAAATTTACTAACCAGGTATCATCCCATACCCTGTCACTAAAAGACTATGTAACTAATATTATTTCTGTACAGTGTAGGAATACTTTACACCGCAATGTATAAATGAAACATAATTGTGATGAATATCGATAAAGTTCAACTTAAATTGTCAAAACAATCAATAAAAAAAAATTGATAAAAACCCCTCAAATGTTGTTTAAAACTTTTAAACTGAAAGAGAGCAAAACATCTTATCCTGTGATGCTTAAATACATAGAATTCGGGACAAGAAATTTGTACTCATGGGAGATTTTACAAACACTTTATCATCATTATTACAGAAAAAGCTCCAAATACAAAAAAGGGACGGTTATTCACGGAAGGATGGGTGGAGTTTTTGGATAAGAAGATTGCAAAACAAGTAGCAGCAAACCTAAATAACACCCAGATAGGAGGAAAAAAGAAAAGTCGCTGGCATGAAGAACTCTGGAACATAAAATACCTTCATAGGTAATCTTTATTCTGCATTCAAATACAAATTTCAAGTACAAGATTTGGAGAAAAGCTGATAACTAATGAACATACCTTAGGGAACCAATCAGCCTTATTTTATGCAAACAGATTTCTTCAAACTATTTGTTCATATAACTGTGAAGATCTGATGCTGTCTAGAAATGTATGTGGCAATGATATCAAACTTGTTAGGGTTTCTCATATGGTTACAGAAATACAACAGGATGAAGCATACTTGAAGAATTAATGGCAGTAAAGATATAATTCTTTAATACATAGACAAATTTATTTTCAATTCAAACTCATCAATATTTTTAACAAAAGATATTTTATCTGCAGGTTTAAATGGGCTCATTTAAATGAGAGACTAGCGTATGAAAAAGCTGTTCACAAACAGAGATTGAGGACAGAGATAGCTCAAGTGAAGCGTGTCGCCAACTTTCACATTCAAAATGCTGAGAAAAGACAGAAACAAAAGGCCATTGAGGAGAGGAAACAGCGACAGGGGAAAAGTGTGGGTGGGGACAGAGGGGAGGGGGAGTACAAGATATTTCAGAGGAAGACGGAGGAGGACACGGTGACAAGGAAGAGGAAGTTAGACTCTGTAGGAGAAACAGGAAAACCAGGAAAACGGAAAAAGGAAGATGTCAATAAGAAATCATTCTTTGCCAGGACTTCCTTGATAAAAAGTATATTTTCAGGAGGTCTGAATGAAGATGATTAAGATATCATTTCAAGATTAAAAGTGAAAACAATTTAGATATGTTTTGAGATGACGGATATGTTGGTTTATTTTGTAAATCATATTATTGAAAACCAAACATTCCTTTGAGTTTAAATCTCAATAAAGAGTTTTTTAGGGATTGGTTTTCTGAAATAGCGACATGCTTTCACATCCTTCCTCATTATTGGAAACTTCCAAGGAAAGTAATAGTCTGTATGTACTGTACGTAGTATTAAAAGTGTTCATTCAGAGTTATATACTGCATTACATGATTGTGTATTAACATTTTTTAGGGACAATATGGGTTTGTGTGTTGCTCTATACTACACATCTCTAGTTCATCTGTTGAATTTATTTTCAGCATTAACTCTTTAATGTAAATGTATAAGCTTTCAAAATCCCCACTTTGTATGTTTCTTGAACCCTGTTATCTTGCATTCTGTTATCTCACAATTTAATCTTGGTCCCATTGAATTTGGGTTGATGAGGCTTTACTGTTTTTCTAATGGATCGAATTTAAATGAGATGGTGAATTATAATTTTGGAGATGTGTAATGCATGCAGCTACAAAAAACATTTGTGAGGGTTTTGTTATAGATTTTTCACAGAATATATTCATCATTAGATTTCATAAGAAATATTTCCTAGTCCTATTATAATGTTTAAGCTTAAAAAGATAGAAAAACAAATTAAATGTTCAGTTTATATATGAATTTTGTATAAAAAGATTTTTTTCTTTTAAATCTTGTAATTAGTGATATGAAAATTCTTTTATTCACCGTCAAATGCAACCATTGATTTTTTGCAAAGGGTTATCTCTCTTTGCACTGTTCAATTGAAATAAAAAATGAGGCAACTATTTTGCCTTATTATTGTTTCAAAAATCAAAATCTTAACCTTTTTGTGAGGCATACATACATTTAAATTGCAATAAACATATGTACTTAAAGTATTATGCAGTTTTTCCTAGCTTTTAATTTTTTTTGAACGACATTAAGATAATTATTGTACGTGTATGTAGTCCTAGCAAACAGAGCTATCTGTAGGTGTTACACTGGACAAAAAAAGATTGAGCTCAGGAAAGGAGTTGCCAATTCTCAATTAAAATTTTTGATAACATTAATTTTTCAATGAATTTTGTCCAATTTTATTTATGCATTGTGTCGTAATAATTTTTTTTCACGAATTCGATAGAATGAATTTTCAACTTTTTGAAGACATCCATCTCAATGGTTCATTGGCGTCGGAAGCAAATTAGAAAGGGGGAGGGGGCTAGTGGCGAATTGAAAGAGAAAAAAATTAAAATACCTGAAAAAAAATTGACAAGCAAAAATCAAAAATCTAAAAAGTAATAAATTGTCTAAATCCGAAAATCCTTTGAATACACCGCAACCTGTGCCTATTGATAGTTTGATAGTTGGTGGGGATTGGGCTTATTAACCTACGCCCTAATGTTCAATGTCTATTTATCATGCATGTCTGTCATGAATATCTGCATGCTGTATAAGAATTTTACAAATGATTTCGTCCACACGAATTTTCCAATCTTTTTTAGGCGCGTAACATCGTTTTTGAAGTGTGGGAGCATTCAGAAAATAATGGACATGCGAAAAAAAAATCATCTAGGGGGGAAAGCAAAGGGGCCTTTATTTGATTTTACGTAATCACTATACATACCAAAAGGAATTCTTATCATTTTTTTTTTGTATATAATGCTAGTGATTTCGTAAAAAGGGGGACGCCTTTCGGTGAAAATTTCCGTACTTATGTACATGTGTAACATCATTTAAATAGGATTTGGTTCAGCTACATTATCAAACCCTTATTTTTGTCCAATTTTAATTGCAATTAGATGTTTGGATTTTAATGAAAAATTAAATCAATTTTAGTTTAAAATTTGAAAAAGATACAGTCTCGAAAAGTGAGGGGGTGTGTGTGTGAAAGAATTTTATTTGGTATCCCCACCCATCAAACCTAAACAGTTCTTCTTATAGGGCTGCGTCACAATGGACATTGTGTGCAGCAACGGACACTCTGATGTATGTATTTTTAGATTCTTGCTAAGTTTGTACTTTATGTTTCATATACTTATGATATATTACTGTAAATAAATTATTGTTAAGTTTAAATTGTGTTATTGATCTTTGCTGGCATTTCGGGTAATTCTGACCCATAACAGAATTGGGGGCTCGTCCGGGATAAAGAATTTCTTGCACTTTTGCAGTTTATTGTCAAAATTTTTGTTTATTGAACCGTTAAATTTGACTATAAGCCAGCAAAAATCAACATGGTATTTTCGGTCACAGACTTTCTTAGTTCACCAAGTGTTCAGGTTTTTGATACGTTAAAAAAGGATGACTTGATCGCATTAGGTTTACATTTTGGGTTAGATGTTAAATCCTCTCAGAGAAAGCAAGACATTAGAATTAAGGTTGCAAACAAACTAGTAGAAGAAAACATCTTTGAAAAATATGATCTTCCAGAATATACAGTTAAATCAGAATTAGGCTCTTACAAAATGGCAGAATATCAGTTTCAATTAGAGTTAGAGAAAATGCGATTAGAAAGAGAAAAATTAGAAAGAGAAGATCGAGAAAGAGAAAGAGAAGAACGAGAGCGTGAACGAAAATTTGAATTAGACAAATTAGAAAGAGAAGAACGAGAGCGTGAACGAAAATTTGAATTAGACAAATTAGAAAGACAAGAGCACTTTGAGTTAGAGAAATTAAGATTACAGCACCAACCAGAACCGTCATTTGTCAAGAATGAATTTGACGCAGCAAAAAATATTAGGTTAGTTCCGAAATTTCAAGACAAATCTGTAGACAAATATTTTCCCCAATTCGAAAAAGTCGCAGAAAATCTTAAATGGCCACAAAATGTTTGGTCAACAATGTTACAAAGTGTACTGGTTGGCAAAGCAGCTGAGGTATACTCTGCACTAGGGGTAGCTGAAAGTTCAGACTATGAGAAGGTCAAAGCAGCAATATTAAAAGCCTATGAATTAGTACCTGAAGCGTATAGACAAAAGTTCAGAAAGTATAGGAAGTTTGATAAACAAACATTTGTTGAATTTTCACGAGAGAAAGAAGATTTATTCGATCATTGGTTTAGATCTAAGAATCTTGATAAAACTTTTGCTAATTTGCGCCAAGTCATCCTGGTAGAAGAGTTTAAGGAATGTGTTCCTCAAGATTTGAAAACGCATTTAGAAGATAAGAATGTGAAAACTCTTGAAGAGGCAGCAGTCATATCTGATACTTATGCCCTGTCTCATAAAAAGAATTTTGTATCAAGATCTCAGACTAGCAGTAATTCTACCAATTCAGACACATATAAAAAGAGTGGTTCAGGGTCTCAGTCTTTCACAAGTTCCCAGTCTCCATCCCAAGGTGGTTCTAAGTCCGGTCCAGGACGTTTTGAAGGATCTTCTGGAATAGGGTCGCTTCCTACTTGTAGTTATTGTAAGAAAAAAGGTCATCTGATCAGTGAATGCTTTAAACTTAAGAGAAAAAATGAGTTTGATAAAACTCAACCACACGCTTGTGCGGCAGTTAGAGGTGATAGAGAAGCCTTAGTTTCCATTTGTTCTGACACTCCTGATGTCCAGGGTTCACAGTCCAGTTCTATTGGATTATAAGCCCTTTATGTCTCAGGGATTTGTTTCACTCAGTGACTCTAGCGAAATTAAACCTGTCCAGATTTTGAGAGATACTGGTGCTGCACAGACGTTATTGTTAGAGGGCGTGCTTCCTTTGTCTGAGCAGACTTCTACTGGTGGGTCAGTTTTATTACAGGGTGTGGAGCTAGGCGTCATTGATGTTCCCCTGCATAGAATTAGTTTGAAGTCAGATTTAGTTACTGGACCTGTTATCGTCGGTGTTCGACCTACTCTTCCCGTTCCAGGCATTTCTTTGTTGCTAGGCAACGATTTAGCTGGTGGAAAAGTTGTACCAGATCCTATAGTTTGTGAGAAAATCACTCCAGATGTTATGTGCGATGATGAAGATGATGACATTTATCCAGCCTGTGCTGTTACTAGAGCAATGGCCAGAAGACGAGAAATGGAGGCAGACCATACTCAAGCCGTTGACGAGACGAATTCTTCTGTTGATATTGATTTGAATGACACTTTCTTATCTGACCTTGATGGCACTCAAACCAACAAGGAACCACACAACATCAAGAAGCAAGAGAAGAAAGAACTGTTACCAAAATTTGGTGGTGAGGATGATGAGTTGCATCCACTAGTTAGCCAAGGCAAGGACATCCTCAGCCGAGAACGTTTACTCTCTGAACAACATAAAGACCCAGATATCATTCAACTTAGTAAGAGGGCACTTCCACCAGAAGAGGCTACTAAAATTGGAGAATGCTTCTATATGAAAGATGGCATCCTTATGCGAAAATGGCGACCACCTGACGCTTCCCCAGATGAAGTGTGGCGTGTTGTTCACCAGATAGTGGTCCCAGTTGCTTATCGTCAAGATGTCATGAGTTTAGCTCACGATACACCTATGGCTGGTCATTTAGGTATCAATAAGACTTATAATAGGATTTTGAGTCATTTTTATTGGCCTAAGCTAAGAAAGGATGTTTCGAAGTTTTGCAAGTCATGCCATGTCTGTCAGATGGTAGGTAAACCAAATCAGAAGATACCATCTGCTCCTCTCCAACCCATTCCAGCTTTTGAAGAACCGTTTAGTCGAGTGTTGGTGGATTGTGTAGGACCTTTGCCTAGGACTAGATCTGGAAACCAGTATTTACTTACCATTATGTGTACATCCACTCGGTTTCCTGAAGCCATACCTCTTAGGAATATAAAGGCAAAGAGCATAGTTAAGGCCCTAACCAAGTTTTTCAGTTTTGTAGGAGCACCCAAGGCAATTCAGTCGGATCAAGGCTCAAATTTTATGTCGGGGTTGTTCCAGCAAGTCATGCATGAGTTGGGTATTAGGCAGTATAGATCAACTGCTTATCATCCTGAGTCCCAGGGGGCGCTAGAACGTTTTCACCAGACCTTAAAAACGATGCTGAAGACCTATTGTTACCAGTATGAAAAAGACTGGGACGAAGGGGTTCATCTTGTACTATTTGCTGCACGAGAGGCAGTCCAGGAGTCTCTTGGGTTTAGTCCATTTGAATTGGTGTTCGGTCATACAGTTAGAGGTCCTTTAAAATTGTTGAAGGAAAAGTGGCTGACTGAGACTAGTGATCTTAATCTTTTAGATTATGTGTCTGATTTCAAAGAGAAACTTTACAATGCTTGTAAATTAGCACAAGAAAATTTGAAGAGTTCTCAGATGAAAATGAAAATGTGGTATGACAAAGATGCCAGAAATAGGGTGTTTAAGCCAGGTGATAAGGTTCTTGTATTTCTACCTATTCCTGGTCATCCTTTACAGGCCAGATTTTATGGCCCTTATGAAATTGAAAGCAAGATCAGTGATGTAAACTATGTAGTTAAGACACCAGGTCGACGTAAAGAGAAACGGGTTTGTCACATTAACATGTTAAAAGAGTATTTTGAAAGGTGTGACCGAAATTCTGAAAAACCAGTTTCCACTTCAGCCAACGCTAAGACTGTTCAAAATTGTATTGAGAGTGATACGAGTGTAGAGATGAATGAGAAAGATTGTAATCAGAGTGTCCGCTTGAAAAACTCAGAAATTTTGGCTGATTTTGATTCCAAGCTTGGACATTTGAACATTCACCAAAAAGAACAAGTTAAAAACTTGATGAATGAGTATCATCAAATCTTCTCGGATGTTCCAAAGAAAACTAATGCAGCTTGTCATGATGTTATAGTTGGCGACGCCCTGCCTATCAAACAACATCCGACCGTCTCAATCCAATAAAATTGCAGTACCTAAGAAGGGAAGTGCAGTATATGTTGGACAATGACATTGTTGAACCTAGTAAAAGTAATTGGAGCTCACCATGTATTCTTGTACC